TCATGTAAAATTTTGTGGACGTGTTGCATTACTTGTTGAAAAGATGGGTTTATTCTTTATAACTGAACAACCACATCCATCAAAGCTTTGGGAAGAATCCGAATGGCAGGAAGTATTAAAACTGTCTACTACTGCCAGCATCGTGATTCACCAATGCATGACAGGCCAAAAGGGCCCTGATGGAGGACCAGCTAAGAAACCCACGAGATTCATCGCCAATCATAGGGCTCTCTTAGAACCATTGACCAAGTATGTTTGTGATGGAAGTCATGAGCATGAATTACTCGAAGGAGGGAAAGCTAGCCATTGTAAACTGTGGACATGGAAACTAGCTACATCTATAGTAGACGGAATAACAAACCTTCGAGAACTGGTCAACTCCAGAGAGTATGCCTATCCAACTATCGGCACGAGCACTGATGCATCCGAGCCAAGCAGTGAACCCGCCGATGACCCAGATAAGAGACCAGCAGTTTGCCCAGGTTGTAAAGGACATCTAAATAGGAATGATCCGAGGCACACTCGTGATCCTGATACCTGTAAATATCCTTTAGATGCCCCCATAATATGGACATGCCCTGGATGTAAGAAAATGAAACCTGCTGGTGATAGTTCACATACTTATGCCCAAGGTGAGTGCCAACACATGACCATAGCTCACCGTAAAGGCATTCATCGGAAAGGCCATCATCCCAGAGAACCAGCCAAGCTAGCTGATGAACTTCCGGTTCAAGACTCTCAGGCTCAACTGCCTGATGGAACCGACTTGGGAGCCGGTGAAGGAGCTGCTAGTAGTTCAGCCGCAGGGGCAGCACCTCCAGCAGAAGACAGGATTGTCCCCTTCAACCCAGATGACGGCGAACCCGCCGAAAGCAGACTCCGAGGCCCTTATCGAAAGTTCCGGGATGCAGCCGCAGGTAGTGAACATCCATCTGACTGGTCCAGATTCGATGTCACTCATAGTCTAAAAGACTTGAGAAGTAGCCATGAACCCACTATTATTCGAACACTCAGGAAGCTGCATTTAAGATGGTGGCATGCAGGCCCCACCAACATGACTAGCGTTTTAAGAAATGCAGGCATACCTGAAGAAGTCATAAGCTACATTCCTGACATCATTTCAACCTGTCGTGAGTGCCGTAAGTGGGCACCAAAAGCCAGAGACACTCAACCCTCAGTCTCTTTGGCCATGAATTTCAACGAAGTAGTAGAAACGGATTTGTTGTTCTATCGAGAATTTGTCGTACATCATTTCATTTGCAGAGCGACTAGATGGCATGTTGCTGTGGAAACACCCAACAAAACAGAAGATCAATTAATCACCAATTTTCACACAGCATGGGTATCCATCTTTGGTCCACCTCAACAGCTTGTCACTGATAGTGAAGCTGGTTTGACTTCATCCAGTGCTGAAGCAAGATTGAAACGCATGGGTGTAGTCTTAAAGGTAAGAGGTAAGGACCAACACGCTCGGTACATCGAAAGGAGAGGAGCGATCTTAAGACATGCTATGCATGTGATGGAATCCCAAGCCATAAGAGAAGGCATTGACATCAACTTCCCATCATTACTTGCCAATAGCGTCTTTATGGGTAACGCACTAACACACATAGAAGGAGTTACACCCTATCAGGTAGTGATGGGAAGACAACCGGCTTGCCTTCCGCCAATTACTGACAACGCCGGCTTGGAAGAGAGAGTTGATGCTCGCATCCGTGAACTCGCATTGCAGTCTATGGTTTCAGCCACGAGTGCATCTCGTATCAAAAGAGCTTTGGGGTCCAAAACTGGCTTGTCGGGAGAAAACCGTTTTGCAAAAGGAGACTTGGTAGAGTTATACCGAACGCCCCCGAGCAAAGACATGAGTGGCTGGACCGGTCCATACGAAGTCGTAGAGTGTGTAGCCGCAGATGGCATTGTAGCTCTTAAAATAAATGGACAGACCAGACCATATCGCCTCCAGGATGTACGCCCAGCACAATACTATGCAACAGTTTCTCTTTATGGACACACCAATGCGGATATCTGTTTGAATGCCATGGAATACATCCATCAATTTTTGAATGAACTCCCTGATGGCCGTGTTGAAGTTTTTGGGTATGTAAATGACAGACTGACAAGAACCACCAAACGATGGCCCAAAATTTCAAAAGCACTAGAGTTCATCATAACCAATTCCCTTCAAATGGATGATATCTGCACTGTAAGAATTGGACACAAAATCAAACAGCTGCAAGATCTGGAAGACAGATACCGCAATGTGATTTTCAATTGGAACATGAACAACCCAGATGCAATGCTCATACATGTTGCCGATCATCCAAGACAAAACATCAACAAAATCTTTGGTCCACAGGAGTCCTTCGTCGCAACAATGCAGTGTTTTATGCTAGACAGAGATGTCGGAATGACACTTGATGATTTTGAGGAGAAAGTGCTGGACCGTCCGTCGGCTACGGCGCATCTCGATCGAGAGATCGAGGTGGGTCGTAGTGATGGGCGGCTCAGTACGATCGCCGAGGAATCTCAAGTTAGCATTGACTCTCCAGAGGTTGAAGCATTGTACCTACAACATTTCGAAGGTGCTCCCAAAGAAATCCAAAGTGATCTCAAGGAGCTGTGCTGGGTAGTTCTCAACGAACCGGTAGATGAAGTATCAGGTGTGGAGATTAAAGATGATTGGTGTTACTTTTCAAGTCCAGATAACCACAATGATTGGGATTCAATACCACCAACAGTCAGTCCAGATTTCGACGAATATGATCACACTTTTGAATTTGATGAAAGTGATGAACCATTTCTTGAAGTGCTGATCTCAGAAAGTATCACGGAATGCTTCCAAGACAGTCGCGATGTGTCAAAGCCCAACATGATGAAAGTATTCCTTAATGCAGAAGCCAAGAAAGAAGTTATCGAAAGAGATACGGACCTGCTTACTGCTAAGGAGTTAATTGACCATCGTAAAGAAGTTGATGAAGCAACAGTTAAAGAGTACGAAACCTGGCATAAGTATGGCTGCTTTGAACGAATCCCCAAAAAGAAATGTAAGGTTCTGATTGACGCTAAGCTAGTTTCTAAGTGGAAATACGTAGACGGGAAGCGCACCATCAGGATGCGATTGGCCTTGCGAGGGTTCAAGGAACCGCAAACCGAAGATGAAGTGAACTTCTCGGCCACTGCGCAAAGAACTTCCCAAAAGATTCTAGCTAGTGAAGCAGCCTGCCACAAGGACTGGAGCTTTGTCGCCGTGGACATAAGTAAAGCATTTCTTCAAGGGCTTACCTTTTCCGAGATGAATAAATTGACCGGGGAGCCCGAAAAACACATAAGCTTTACAGTCCCGGCGGGAACAGCCAAGCATCTCAGACGTATTCCAGGATATGAAGACTTTGATGAGCGATCGGAAGCTCTCAAATGTTTGAAGCCTGGCACTGGCTGCAGAGACGCTCCTAGAGCATTCAACTTGAGGCTCATCAACATCCTCAAGGAATTAGGGTTCCGAGCATCTTTATATGACCCCCAACTGTTAATGTTACATAAGAAAGGAACCCTAGTCTTAGCCATAACCGTCCATGTAGATGATATCAAAATGGCAGGTCTGAAATCAGAAATAGACTCTTTGGTTAAAACTCTGGAAGGGCATTTTGGGAAACTGACGTATCAAGAAAGTGAATTTACAAACTGCGGCATTTGTCATAAAAGACTCCCAGATGGAACTATTACTCTTGATCAGTCAGAATATCTTAGCGCATTAAAACCCATAAACTCAAAACACTATGCCAATCTCCAGAAGGATGCCCTATGCCCCGAGCACCTCAGAGCGCTGTATTGGAGCCTGTTAGGAGCCGTTGCCTATTCCGCCCTAACACAGGCGTGGGTACTAGTCTATATAATCTCCCTCCAACGTGTAACCCAGAACCCCACTGTTACACATGTCAAAAGACTAAACGCACTCACCCGCGAGCTCCAGCGTCGTCCCCAGAAATTGGAGTATAGCTCAATGACTTGTAGCAGGGTTGTTGAGCTATACTCTGATTCAGCGTTCTCCAGAGAAAATGATAAGGGATACGCTTTGAGGGGTGCAGTATATCTTAGAATGGGCACTGATGCAAGAGGTGTGAAGAGATGCCATTTGATTGAGGCTGTTTCTCAATCTCATAAGCTCGTGGTGCGTAGCACATTCGCCGCTGAGCTGTTGGCACTCACTGCGTCCGTTGATCAAAGTTTTATAATCATAACTACCCTTCATGAAATTTGTTTCGGACCCCTTAATCCCCAATCCAGCATAAATTTAAGAGAAAACGGTGGTTACCTTATCGAACTCTATGTCTGGATAGACGCCAGGTCCGTTTTTAGTGCGGTAGAAAATGAAAACTTTAAATACCCAACGGAAAAGTCACTACTCTCTCATATCTCATGGATAAAGCAGCTGACAATTTTGAAAATTATTACTATCTTAGGATGGGTTGACACACGCGATATGGTTGCAGATGGAATGACAAAAGGTTCCATCGACCGCTCGCAATTAATTAATGCCATGAGAGGGTTTGTACGAAGACTACACCCCGCTGAATTCATGAAGACCAGAGGGACACGTCCTCTGGCAATCACAGATACCGAAGTTTGAGCTCGAGCCAGTTACAGCATCTCACCAACTTACAGGAGAACACCCGACTTGAAAGGCACATGATCTATCATACCTCAGATCCATTGTTGTCCATGTAACTGTTCTGGCTCTAGAGCTCGACCTAGGTAAACACAAGACCTCGTCACAAGCAGTCAGAGGAAAACAAACATTTGCCGAAACAGTACATCTTTGTCACTTTAGTTCCTCTATTTTTCGAGTTGCGGTAGGTGCCTCCAATTTAGATCCCTGAATTGGCCGGCGGTCTTGGGGGAGACACCCACAACATCAAATCCATCCAAATCCACAACTATGTGAAGATTTCAGCAGTGGGGTGCTTTCAAGACAAGAACAATACAATGCAACAGAATGACAGGACAGGCTTTGTGCATACATCTCCTTCAATCAGATGCTGGCCACGCACTAGGTGTTTACTTCCCTATGGCCGGACACGACTTGTCATGGAAATGTAAAGGCGCCCCTCAAAGGCAACCCCAACAGGGGTGTGATGAGCCCCTATCAGTGGTGGTCTACGGCCTATGGTGCTCAATATCATGTAGTTGTAGTTGGGAGTCTCATGAATTAGTTCCATATTTTGCCTCGCATTTGTGGAGTTGTTTTGACCATTAGGTTTCCTGAGCCGCCGTTTTCTTGTCATACGCACAAGGGTTTTGGATCGCAGCAACCAAGGAATGATGGTGCCATGCTCAGGGGCTGGAGCCGGGTGGATAGCTTTGCAGGAAGGCTACAGCGCAATATCGAGCTCAGATTGCTGACCCTCCGTGTGTTCGGCAACCCTCTGGGTATTTATTTCATGGGGGCGTTGTGTAAGTTCAAAGCCATACATCACCGTTAACAGATCACCGATTTTAGGGCCTTCGGGGGTGCCCCCAATCAATCAACCGGGTTTCATTACTCCGGGCTTAAAAATACGGTAGCATGTGGTAATTGTCCATGCTGGGGTATTTTGGCATGCTGCTTGGAGTTCATTAATAAAATCCAGGGCACAGGCCCTGGAGACCAGCTAAGCTCTTTGGCAAAGGATGGTGTTCGAAGTATGCCACCTGTGGAGTGCCGACCACGATGCCGAATGAATTTCCACAGGACAGCGTTGTAAAAAGCACACATTTGTTGAAGATCTTGGCATGCATACGTGATAGGCCGGTCTTGAACAGATTTTACTACTATTGATTGATATTGATTGACAAATGCCCCTTCATTGCCCTTCCACAAACCATAGTTTTCCTGCTGTCATTGGCATTCAGTGGTCTTGCTGGATCCCAATTCTTGTAGAGTGACCTGCTGCAGGACCCAAGGGGCTGGTTGACCTTCGCAAGAGATTCGGTGGAGGCTTGCAAGCTGGCAATGCAGGTCCTGGTGCCGTCCTTTCTGGCGTCAAGTCAGCCTAAGAAACTAACTATATTGATCTAGAATATCATAGCTGCATAATTATTGACACACACACACATATATATATAGATATAACATGATATAACATGATATAACCGGGAGAGACTAGTAGTGACTAGTACGTACAAAGGTGCACGACTTGAAGACTTGTTCAATGGGCAGGCTGCAAACTTCATGACACAACAGATTAATTGTACGGTAAGATTTGGTGGACTTTGTTTGCATCAGATCCCAGATCTTGCCTGTCCAAAGCAAATTCTGATAAATTCTGTCTGCTTTCCTTTCGAACCAAGTCCGTACTAGAAAGGTCTGACCGGTAGTATCACTTCCGTCCTCTCAATCTTATTCTTTGGAACGTGCGGAGCTGCTTGTCAAATTTGCAAAGAGGATCCTGGTGTTTGCTTGTTGTGCACATCCTGAGTCTTGAGCCTGTTTTGTGCTCGTTATATCCTGCAGCTCAGGCAGTGCCACAGTTCTACGGAGATTGCTCGCAGCACGATTTCCAGGTGGCGTGAGAGTGACTTGATTGGGCAAGACCTTGGAAGCATGGGCGGAAAAGAACATTACGGTAAAAATAAAACACATACACCTTTAACATCCTTTAACATCCTTTAGCATCCTTCAACAGCCTTTAACATCCTTTAACATCCTTCAAGAGCTGGCGATGCATATTCACTTCTTCCAGCAATCTCTGCGCCTGTTGGGCACATGTTCCCTGTTCAAGACGGAGAAACAGTTCTACGCTTGCATTTGCTTCTGGCAGGTCTTCAAGAATCGGTCAAGTGCATGGTATGAGCAGCGAGTTGCAAGCCTCCGCCTCTTTCATGACTGACTCCGGAAGCCTGCAGGGACTGCATGCATTGTTGTAATTGTCTGGCCATGGATGTGGATTGACATCAGGCTGATCTTTAAATACTTGATCGCACGAGTTCATGCACACGGAAACTAAAAAGTAGGAAGGGTTCAAGATGGACCACAATGAAGCCCCAGAATTTGCGCTCTGATTCACCATTGTTCCCAGCGGGTAAGTTGAAAACGTAAACAGATGGAAGCGGTTGGCTGACATTCTAACGCTTGGGAGCTTGCAGTGATCTAGCATGATATAGCAATTCTGGAGCTCCACATTTGCTGCTGACATTTGCCGACAGAGGACATGACGCTTTTGGTGAATAATTTTCACACAATCTACAGCAACTGCCCACCTGCCGCCCTTCTGGCCGTGCTCCTCCTGCAGTGGATTGAAGACTGTTGGATCGTTTGCTGTTTTAGGACAGGATAGTTGGGAATACTGAGGATCTCCCATGCATTGGGGGATTATTTCCAGGTTGCAGTGAACGTAGCATACTTGGACTTGGACTGCGCCCAAGCATGACAAAGCTAGTAGAGCGGCACCTACAAGAGACAATTAACAAGTGTTCACGGACGTTGCTTCATAAAATTCTGCATTCTTTTTGGGGGCACCGACTGCAAACCAAGCACTTCCAAACCATGGTAAACCTAGACCACCTAGACCCTTTGTATCCCTTGATGACTTAGTCACATCTTTCAACGCTGCCCTGGCATTTTTTCGGCACCAGTCATCAGTCCTTCCCTGTTTCGCTGGAGGTTCTGCTGAAGCTAGAGTCTATGTATTTCGAAAACGAGGAAAAGTGGAACACTTTGCTGGAGACGCTTGAAGCGGTGAGATCGTGATGACCAAGAACAGATGCAATGCATATTGTCACTACAGCAGGCTTCGAAAGATATCGAAAGATGTAGTAGCTGGCAGCTAGCCAGAGATTGGAAATCACATATTTCAGCTAAAAGCATCTCCAGTACCATGGGCTGGAAGTATTGAATTTGCATATACCCTGGAAGTATTGAATTTGCATATACCATATCCACTTGGTATGGTAAAGAGAACATCCAAAATCTATCAAAATCTAAAATGCATGCCCCCTTTAGCATCTACTAGATTTTCTGTATCTATTTGTGTGCTTTTTTGGGTCCCGGAGTCCAATGGATATGCTTTTTTTGGGCCCGGAGTCCAATTTTCTGTATCTATCTGTATCAAGCGACAAAGTAAGTCAGTGCAGGTCGAAAAGTGATTAAAAACATGAATTGGCCTATGTTGTGAGATTGGGGGTCTTTGCGTCCTTGCTGCTTTGAGAAAAACAAGTTTCTGGATATGCTGTGAGCAGCTGGCTGGGATTTGGTATTTGCTTTGTTCAGTTAGGCAGGATATGCACTAACTATGCTTTTTCCAAGTACAGTGGATATGCACTATGCTTTTTCCAAGTACAGTGGATATCCATGTGACCATGCTTTTAACTTCATTTTGCCCTCCATCAGTGTCTGGCTGAGACAGCCTCGTAATAGTAGCGCGTGGATTTCTTTTTAAAATTGGGGGTTGCACAAACATGTGAGCCATATCAAGACTCCGGCAATAGGAAACATGTAAGCGATGAACATTTTCGGAATTCGTACCACCATGAGGTCAGCAACGTGACCTTCCCAAATAAAAGGTTATGTCATACTGTACCCGTTTGCGCATCCGTAATCTCCATTTTAAGCGATGGCCCAAAAAATTGCCCTGCGTCATTTTTATGCAAACGCATGGGCCTTCCCAGATTTGTTGGTGTCCTTTGCGAGAACCTTGAGTTTGCCAGGTGAACTCATGTGACATGGCCCACACATAGTTTCGATCTTTCGTTGTGTCAGTCAAACGGAGAAACAGATGATGGTGATGATGGTAGCAAAAAGAGACTACCCAGAAACTTTGATACCACTTTGCCACTTTGATGCTACTTCTACCCCTTTGCTTGTCGATTCACAATATCTTTCTTCTGTGAGAGGAAATGTGAAGTTTAGACCAAACCGGGGTCTGTAAAATTGAACTACTTGAAACTTTCTGGCACCTGCGGTATTCAATCGCATTGGATTTGACAGCTTGAAGACAAACCACGTGGCAGACTTCAAGTGTTTCAACGCAATCCGATATACTAGAAGTGTAATTTCATGTCACTTCATGTCATGCACTATGAATATAGACTGCATATGGCATTCGATGTATACTAGACATGTGCGGGGGTAAGGTCAATTCGGCCAGCATTCGGCCTCGAATCTTGACGGGTCATATGGTCATGATTAGCCTAATCTCGGTTCATGGACAGTCTGAACATGTCTGAACCAAGGATCTACGTGAACACGCATCACAAGGCCTCTGCAGAAGGACCTTTGAAATGACATGAAATGGCTTGCAGGGTTCAGCTTTACATAGCTTTACCAAAGGTCGTGCATCTGAGAAATTGATGTCAAGACGAGTGAGATCGAGTGATGCAAAAGAAAAAAACTGTGGCACTGTGGGCTCTGTCTTCACAGAATCTGTTTGGCTCATCGAACGAAGTTGCAACAGGTTTTCTGCGGATTTTTGCCTGTGCAGTTCCGAGGAGAACTGCTTCCACAGCACTACCAAGACGGATGGCCACTCCGGGAGGGCATTGGCCGCGCCCTGCAACTACGAAAACTCGGTACCAAGCAGAGGCCGGCCAAGATATAATAATATTATCTAATAATTACCAATATACGTCATCTTAAGTCATCTTAAGTCCTTCTATGTACTCAAATCCTTTTATCATCTTCGGTCCTTGCTGATACTAGTATCGTTTGGAGAAAGACATGCCTTGAGAATCCTTGAGAATCCTTGAGATCGTCCGACAAAATCTCAAGAATGACATCCTTGTGTATCTTGTGGCAAATTTGCCATTGTGCCCCCAAAATTGGAGAGCCCCGCGGAAGAGAGATGAAGAGTTAGTATAGTTATTGTATACTTAGTTTTTTTGTTGTTGACAGTTTGTGGAATTTAGATGAATTTAGCGGCCACATGCGGCCACCAGGTCTGTAGAGCTTGTGGTGTGCTATTGCCTGGATCCTAGTGAGTCCCGCAGGACTGAAATGGACTGAAGTCATGAGTAATTTAATTGCCTAAAGTCGTTTGAAGCATTTTGAAGCCTATGTAGGAGCAGAATACGCAATCAGATTTCTTCCATATTCGGATTCTTGACATTAATATGTGTGTGTGTGTGCGTGTGTTAATACAGTATATATTATACACTATAGAAGTTCATACGATATGCCGGCTGTCGCTCCTGCAGAAGGAAGTGACCGATTCCCCACCTGTCAGGTAAGGATCTCTAACTTTGCGTCACCTCCTCCTCCTCCTCCTCGTCCGATTTCAATGTCGGATACACCAACCACATATGTCCGAAATTGTCCGAATATGTGTCAGAAACATATGTCGGGATAAATAGGGTACACAGATTACAATTTTATGTCAGAATAAATGCCAGGATAACGTGTGGCGTCATTTTGTCATGTTTCTTGTGAATAGGCTCCAAGCATCTACAAGCTGTTTATTGTTACAGTTTGCTGCAGATGTGCATTTGCCGGATCAGTTTCTTAGGCTCTGAGAAGCTGTCATGGCTGCGCGCCTTTCACCAGCTGCCTTGGCGTGATGAGGATCGCTCAAAGGCCGTGCGAGAAAATGTCGCTCTGAGATTTTATCACAAGTTAAAGCCTCAGACTCTCAGACTATCTCATGGACTCTTTCACAACTGTCGGCATGTCTTGCAATCTTTCCCTTTTCATTCCTTTTCATCGTGATCAAACTTGATCTGTCTGCGAAGTTGATGCATTAAAGGCCGGAGATCACGTGAAGTCTCAGGTGTGGCGGCTTGGGTCAGGCGGCACGTCAACTGGAAGCTCAGACACTGCAGGATCAGTGGGCCCCCTCTTTTCGTGAGGTCTCAGTCACATGGCAGCAGTTGAGATCTGCTGTCTGATGCTGGGAGTATTTCACTCTTTAGTGTTCTTGTGTATTTGCTAGTTAAGTTAGTTGTAAGTGCCACCATATGCTACAAGGCCAGAATTATGAGGGATCTTTTGATGCTGATGTCAGGTTCGGTATGTTGATGATGTATTGCGAGCAGACGATGACTCAGCCTATTTGGCCTTCATTGTAGATCGGCGAGGGCCCTAGGCAGCACGGAACTTTCGCCATTTAGGGGTCAGTTTAGCTTGGATTCTGTTCTGTGCTATGGCAGGCTATGGCTGACAGAGTGATGATGTGTCATGCATGTTATTCGTTCTCTGATAAATATGAGAGGATCCAGCTCGTATCTCGTAGCACTTGTTGCTGAATCGTCCGAGCACATCCGAGCACTATATATAATATTATATTAAAAAAATGAGTGAAGTTTCCGAGGTGGCCAAGTCAATGAATTTCAATAGAGAGGTGAGCGTCACCAGCGTTGGAAAAACCGACAAAAACACTTTCTTGGGACCAAGATTTGCCCAAAAACCCAACGCTGACAGCGCTCTTTTCCGTTTCAATAATGCAAAGAATGCATATAATTTAATAATATTTAATATGCAAAGTGGCATTTTCACTGCAGACACTGCTGTACACACTTCCAATGGAGAAAGTGTACAGTATATAATTCAAACAATTTCAAATGTGTGCAGACAAGAACGCATCTATCATATTCTATCATGGTCAAAAGACGTTGCAAATGCTACAGCTTTCACTTGCGGGAGAGCACTATGGGTTGCTCGGTTTTGCTTTTCTTTTGGGACGTGTCTGATTTCAAACGAGCATCTGTGTCAATGCACAACCACACCGCAAAATGCATTTTTCATTTTTGACGGGGGGCTATCACGGCAAGAGCAATTCATGCACAAGACACAAAAACAGGAAAATTAGCACCATCTATGGCCCACCTGCGTTCACCACCAGAAATGCCAACAAAAAACAGAAAATACATTAAACATCATTAAAATACGACGCCCCCCAAACCAGCGCATAATTACCAGCTTTCCCTCCGTTACAACCCATCTTCACCGCCGTTGTGCTGCCGTTGCGTGCCTGTTGCAGCAGGGATGCTTGCAGGTACGACACGCTGCCTGATTACACTGTGTTCCTGCATGCTGATGCACCAGAGCAGCTTGTGCAGGAACGTGGCTTGTGTGACCGATATTGTCAATGATTTTCTAGGATTTCATCCTGCAAGTATATCTTTATCCAGCCCTCCTTGACCAAGATGACGTGGAAACTTACGCACATTCCGCATGCCGTCATGAATATGGGGACCGGCTGACGTTATTCACAGTGCACATGTGGGCTCGTTGCAAGTCTTTTTGATTCAAGTGACTCAGTCGCACCGGAGGCACCGGTGCGGTATATCCTACTTTTTATATAGCAGATCAAAATAGATGCCAAGCTATCAAGAACATCCCCCATCATACATGTTGCTATAATGGGGTCTTGCAAGTTCTCCTGTTCAATCTATGCTTGCCCCTGTGAGAAAATTCTTAGGCATGTGCCGTCCTTGGAGTTGCTCACGGATTCAGTCTTTGCAGCAATCCGCGGGTTTTTACCGGAGATCCTTAGCTGTACAGAGTTGCAAAATCTTGTGATGTCTTGTGCAAAGCACCAGCTCCAAACAGAACTGCAAGGCTCTCCAACATACCCGTTTGCTCATCGCCTCTGTATTTTCGAGAACATTTGCCGTGAAGTCATTGTTTGCTCAGCAAAGGGTCTCGTTGCATGAGCAATTTCACGCATGTGCTTGTAATGGGGGGCTTGGAGTTGGGACCTTCAGAAGTCGGTGTTCCGACCCAGCTGGCTGATGCTAGCTGCTAGCTGCTAGCTGTCGCAAGGAATATCGGCTTTGTGCACTTTGCCCACAACTATGTGCTTCATGATTTGGGCTGCACCTTGGCATTGCACCAAATTCATCCACAACCCGACGTTTAGCTGGACTTCTTTTGAGTTTGTTTCGATATCACATGGCTTGCTATTTGCTCATGCTCCATGTTTCTTAGTGTTTCTTTCTTCGGGCGATTGCGCTATCATATTTACTCGGTTCACCACTCCCTTATTTCGACCTGCCTATGCAAAAAGTAGTCATGGCAAGACAATGCAAGAGTGAATTCATGAGTTTATTTGCGTTTTGCTTGGGAGCAAGGTCGCGATAATCCTGATTGTGAAGGTCACCAACTTGATCCGGCTACTTGTCCAGGATTTGCCTTTCAGCTGTCAGCTTGTCCACAAACCATACACGCCGACACCTTTGAGTAGCTGGTGACGAGAGCTCGGATCACCTTCCATTTGTCCCACCATGTTCAAGTGATCAATAACGTAATGTTTGTCTCGGTCAGGGCATGTCAGGGCCATCCTTTTCAAATCCTCTTCCAGCATGTCTTTCAGTTGAGGCTATTGTGGTTGTTAGTTGGTTTGCTTGAGTTCGATATGGAGTTTCATTTCAATTCCGCAAGAATTTGCAAGCATCAGGAAGATTCAGAAAGGAGATAAGGCTTCTGGAGGCAATTTCTGGTTTCAAAATCAAAGGGCAACGTCAAGACATGTCAAGACGAAGCCGGCGTAGATATGTTACTCAGCTAGGCAATGCGTCCCCGAAGAATTCATTCGTCCAGGAACGGCCATACCCACATATCATTGCACGTTCTAGCAGAGATCCTGGAGCCAAACTGATTTTTTCGGGGGCAGCTGCAGCACCCGCATACACTCCTGCAATGTCATGTGCATTCACACGAGATTGATGTCCCCGGACTTCAAGGAATTCGGGGCTCTTTGGAAGAAAGTCTTTGGCTCATCCATCGCACCTTCCCTGGCTGCCGGCGATGTGACTCTTGGCTGACTGGGTGAACGGATAGCTATCTCTGATTTATACGTTTCTGTCAGCAGCGTCCACAACTGCATTCTGTTTGATAAGTGGTCTGAATGTGATTTCAAACGAACAGAAGAGAAACACAGACCCTGAATTGGAACATTTCACAAGCAGGAGCGCATAGACTCTGTTGCTGCCTTGTGGCTGCCCTATGCTACCCTACACATCAAGATCATAAAAAGATGTCGGCTGCATTTGACTAATCTTTTCACCCTAATACTACCGCCCCCCAAATGGCGAACATGGTCATCTAGTGATCTATTTTGATTATTAAGCGGTATTTTGTATTAGGGGTGCGAAACTTCCCCCTAATACTAAATTTTAAACCTTAATATACAACAGTTTAAAAAAACTTTCAAAATCGACTAAATTCCTTTTTAACATCCTTGCCGCTCCACTCATGTGTTGCCTCCTTTTCTGTTTCTTTATGGCGAAGGAGGATGGGACTGGATCATGTATGGCATGTCACTGGTTCGGTCCTATCACTTGAACCCTCTTGTGGGTAAATCATCTACAAGGGGGACTTTTAACATCTAATTAAAATAATAGTGCTAAAAATTAGATTTCGAAGATTCTCCTCATATTAAAAACATATAACATTAGTTTAAAAACACTCAAATGTTCTATTTCTTACCTAACAGTGTTGTAGTTGTAGGTTGGTTGGGAAGGGTCTCACTGTTGTTTGAAACATGTCAGTGTTTCCAAATGAATAATCTTGTGGCCAATTTTGGTTCAAGACATCTTGGTTTTTCTTTTCCCCACCCTCTTCCACCCTGATTCCCTCTGCGGGGTGATGGGCAGAGGCAGAGGGCCTATGTGAGGTTTGTCATCTACTACCCTTCTTTCCCCCCTTTTCGTAGGTCCACCCTACTGAAATTGGGCCAGGTATAGATGGTAAGAGTCGTTCTGACCTTAATCAACTGTTCTTGTGAGATGTATCATATATCTGTGATATACTCCAAGCACGTTTACCCATTGTTACTTTGTAACAATGCACTGTCAAGTGTAAATTCTGTGATCAGGATATTACGCGACGTGAAACAGGGTTTGAGCAGCTCGTGTCTGTGAAAAGAGTTCTGCTGGTGCCTGCAGGTTTCAAAATCAATCAAATCCCTGTTTAAAATCTAATTAAATAGTGCCCGCAATTGGATTTCGAGGTTTCCGGGATCTTAAATTAAGAGCCTTAATTAAAGAAAACGACAAGTTTCTATTTAAAATTGATATAAATTGATTAAACTCCTTTTTAACATCTATATAATTAAAATGTTGCCCAAACTTGGATTTCGAAGGTTCCCGAAATATTAAATTAAAAGCCTTAGAAGAGAGTGGAGGGATAGGGAGCCAGGAGATGGGAACCTAATAGTAAAACAATGTAAAACACCAGATGTGATTCTATGTTTATGAGTTACTCAACTATTTCACCATCCTGTTCTCCTATTGATTCTCAATTACCACAATTGAGAACACACTTGTAAGCAACCAAAAAAACCGAAAGTGCCAATCCACTCCTATTGTTATTAAGTAGGGGACTCTACTTTGGGTCTGCATCACAGGAGAGGCATGATAGTCTACTCTATTCTTCCTTTTGAAGTTCCTGTTGGCCCACTGTTGGCGAACGCCATTCGTTGCACAAAGCTAAATAGATATGCTTGACTTTGACGCGCTTTCAAGGAACGCTTACTGCTGTGTGCAGTTCATGGTGCATCGTGACCGGATACGTTTGAGGCTTCTTGGCTGTCTAGGAGCAGTAGAAGAGTTAAGGAGAGCCTACACGCAGATGTCAGTGTTCTGTGATAGTTGGCGAAGACAGGTGCTGCGGAACCTGTGATGCACCATTATATCCATTAATTATCATTCATTATCCTTTTGGTATAGATATATATATATGTGTGTGTGTTGATTCATTGTATATCCAATGTGTCCACTATGGATCCAGTGTGTATCCATTTTGTACCCATGTGCAGGGCCTGCAACCCATCTCCACGAGTGAAGCCGATGTCGTTCTACCAGCACGGCTGGGAGTACTTTGGGCTTACAGCAGAGTCTTACCACCGACTTTTCCCAGTTGGACGCAGCTTGCCTCACACCAGCCAAAGGCAAATCTCAGGGCAAAATTGAACTATTTTTTGCACTTTCAAGATCTTTCAAATTCTTTCAAGGGTAAAAAGGAGAGCACAAGGGGGTGGATTTGAGCGTCTGACTCGTATATCCGTATATCATATTTTGGAATTTGGAGCCATCTCTTCATTATGAACCATTTGATTTTTGAGTAGCCAACAGTAAAAGACTCCGGAAGAGATGGATGGCAGAGACCGCAGACTGTCGTTGGGCCACAATAGAATTTGCAGATGATTCAGCTTACCCTTAATTACCCTTTCCGAGGTGTTGTCCGGAAGTTGGATGTGTCACCTGACCTGCAAGTCTTGCAGGGTCTCTTCGGGCAGGAGAGTTGTGCATGACCCGGAATATCTAGATGTGTCTCTTGGTTTGTGGGGACCTCACTACCTTGGATTTTGAAGGTCATGATACGTTGTGATCCAAGTAAACGAGGTGGGTGCCGACAAGCGCAATGTCGAGACATTGCAGCATGATGGGCAGACCCAAAACATCCTTCAGCTTGCTTCGACCATCTTCATTTTATTTTGTAGAAAACACCGCAAATCCCTCAGGGCCAGCACCCACCAAAGTCCCAAGACAGGTGCGAAAGATTTGGCAGAGAAGCTGTGAGACACGAACGTGCATAGTACATTCGCGTACTTTGCAATGTCAAAGAATGCTTTCAGGAAGCGAGGGTCGCTTTCAAAATAAAAGGTCCAACCGGTCTAAGATTTGGATAATTCAAGATAATTATGCTTTGAAGACAGCATTGCAAAGTAGCATGGCTCAGGTTGGGACGCACACCTGGGCAGCTCCTCTGCTCAACTTGGCATGCAGATGCATGGAAATGCTGTGTTGCCTCAGCAATAGATACGTTTCAACCTTTTGATACCTTTTGCTACCATAGGGAGCCCCAAGACGAAGTTGCAAAAAGCAGCGGATGGAACACGCCAACTGGAGCAAATCGATCACTTCACTGATGAAAGAAAGTCTGGGATAGGCTGGCGCCAAGTGTAGATGGAGGAGCCTCCACCACACTGAATAAGATTGGGTGGTGAAAGCATCTGTTTGGCAGCGAATGTGTTTTTTTGGAGTGCCTTGCACGCGAGAAGGGTGTGTGTTTGTTCCGCGGTATCGCTGCAGGTTGGCCATGTACATATGGCATGTGATGTTTGGCGAAGCTTTGCGACTGCCGCGGCGGCAGCGTGATGTCCGTTTGCCTCTTTTCATGAAGATTCAAAACGTTGAGGCCTGGCATTTTAGCAACATGTTTATATGTGATCATATTTGATCATATCATAGTAGCAAATCGTGTACAATGATGTACAGTGTACGTGTATAAATAGATTGTATATTACTTTTACTAAATAATCTATACAATTGTATTTATACCCCCATAGTTATATATATGTATATAATAATAATTATCCTTTATGAATAACTACACACGTGCACACACAGGTAGGTAGGTAGGTAGATAGATAGATAGATTAGATTAGATTGGATTAGATTAGATTAGATTAGATTATATAATATAGATTAGATTAGATTAGATTAGATTAGATAGATAGATAGACAGATAGATTAGATTAGATTAGATTAGATTAGATTAGATAGATTAGATAGATTAGATAGATAGATAGATAGATAGATAGATAGATAGATAGATAGATAGATAGATAGATAGATAGATAGATAGATAGATAGATAGATAGATAGATAGATAGATAGATAGATAGATAGATAGAATTAGATTAGATTAGATTAGATTAGATTAGATTGATAGATAGATAGATAGATAGATAGGTATATAAATAGATAGATCGATAGTTAGATAGAAGGCAGACAGACAGGCAGGCAGACAGATAGATAGGATAGATGGATGGATGGATGGATGGATGGATGGATAGATAGATAGATAGATTCATAGAGGTGTGTACTTGTAGGTGCCAATGTGTGCGCAGATACCATTTTTCACATCACAGAATCACATGCCTTCCGTATATACCTATGTCAATGTCCTATATCTGATACATATTATGCATTCTCACGTGTCTTATGTATGCAGATACATATTGTGGATCATTCTAAGAGCCTTCAGCAAGATGCTGAACTCCCGGAGAGGGCGATGGAGAGAGACAGATCATTCTAAGATCATACTGGTACAATAATATATATATATATACATTACATACCCTCTTTTGATGAACTGTTATCAGTTTTTGATGCTGGTGCCTGTGGGTCACTTTCTGCAGTTTGCTTCCCATGAAGACTATGCTTCTCTTGGTGAAGTTTGGGCACGCATTGTTGAGTGTCCATCATGTCGACGCGGACAGTAGTATAAAATATCGTCCCCCTTTCTGTTCAGCACACTCCTTCCTGGCTGTCCATTCTATCGAACTCTCTGTCTGAGTTTGGGGTTGAAGGTGGAAGCCATTGAGGAGGACGGCGAGTCTTCCCAAGAGGAGCTAGAACAGTTAGCGATGGCAAGCTGCTAGTCAGCACTGGCGTAAGTATCCAGGTGCTGACATGTGCTTATTCGCCAATATTGGCCATGCCACTGTGACAATGTAACGCATCACTCAGAACTTGTCAGAACTGATGCTTGTGATATCTTGTGATACCTGCGCCGTCCGTCATTGGTGGGGCAATCATGGGCAATCCAAATTCCGCAGAATGCTGATGTATGCTGTGTGATGCTCTGTGTGTGTGTGTGTGGGCCGTGCGCACATGCATGAACAGAATGCCAGCTTCAAACTGCACTAAGGCCAGGTCCTTGAGGGTGGTGGGAATTCCATAGCTGCCCGACTGGGCACACTCTTTGAATAGCGTTAGAAGACTGAGATGAAGAGCTCAATAGAAATTAGTTCCGAAAAAGCGTGAGAATTGGGCCATTTCATGAATTTTTCATGGGTCTGACCCTCAAAGATTCTAGCAGTGATAGTGGCACGGAGCCTTGATGCGGTGAACTCGGTTGGTTTTTCTGGGCACCTTTCACATCTATACAATTCGAGACGTATCTATACCAGTTCTTCCACATTACCCGCAGATCCCGCAGCTGTCTCAAGAAATGCCGAAATGCCAATCATCAAGATGACCAGGCGCTTGGAAAAGGCAATGTAGAACACAGAGTGGAACGTGTAAGAACAGGTATTGTTTCGTGCACACTCGCAAGCCCACTAGTTGCACGTGTTGCTGCAAACCCGCCCAACTGCATCCTTATTGGTTCCCGTCTTGCGGCCACCAAGGAAACTGCAATGTATTATATAATGTATTCATGAAATTGATTGGCACAGTAAATCCATCTGCTGCAGTATGCATCAGTCATATTCTGGCACTCAGATGTATGCATGGACATAGTCAAAGTTCAAATGAGGCCTGGCAGCCTCAGTCTGGTGCAAATGATCTTGAAGTAAAGATTCTCCCTAGGGAAGTGGCTTGAAGAGATGACAGACTGAACCTTCATGCAAGTCTCCTTGTGTGTTTGGATTTCTTTTGAAAGTAGTGACCGAATACCCTCAGCGACATGAGCCCCATTTCCTTCCTATTTGGCACAGCAGCTTGTCAGCAAAACGGTGCAGTCAGCTTTGCCAACATTTGCATGCATATTGCGGTTGCAGTTGACTCATTCCAACAATTTCCAACACATTTATCCGGACTCATGCTGAAAAAGTCTGAGCTGTGGCCTTCTGCGCGTGTCAAACAATGCAGTTCGTTACAAGCAGAAACGTGGTTCACGATCTTTTGCTAACAATTCTTTTTCATCCTTTCTCTTCGTTGGTATTTGCGCACGGCCTTGCAGCCCGAACGAGAAGCATTAGATCAAACACCTGATTGCTATTCAGCTCTTGCATCCGCTTAATCCTCTTGGAGTGCTCGACTTATGCTTGACTTCCAAAACTTCCAAGGTATGCTTAGTCCATGCGTCAGCCATTGCCATCATTGGCTATGTGCCAGACTACCGTTTCAACGGCATAGACTGGGACAAGGCCAGGAGGACCCATCAACTCACGTTGGCCAAGAAGTCGTCTTTAGAATTCTTTAGATGTTTTTAGCGTCTTAATTTGGTTTTGACTTTGAAATCTTTTGGAAAAAATGTGGTCCTCAGGTGTTCTCAGGAAGTTGCAGATGCATGAAGATCATGAAGATCAAAGATTTCCATTTATGACCTGGTATTTTCATGTATTTTCCCTGTTCGTGCTTCGACGTGCTTCCGACATGCTTCAACGTGCCAGGTGGTGTCGCAAACCACTCATTTGGTGCTCTTCTCTGCTGAGCCGCGTGTCGATGGCTTGCGAAACCGGGATGTCATCCGCAGTGTTCTGCGACCGCCCCTTGTTTGAGACAAGTCTGAGACAATCCTGACATGTTCGGAACACCACCCTGGCACTTCTCATCAGATGTGCCATCAGCACGTCTTGCACACATTGAGGCACACGCACACCACACAATTTACGAAATCTAGCTAGAAAATACGAGAGAGAGAGAGAGAGAGCAAGACACTGAAACAGACCGAAAAGGCTGCACCTGGCGACCACATAATGTTTGTCACTGTTGAGCTGCTGGCATTCATGCACGTGGACTTCATACGCAAGAGAATCTGCTGGCTAAGACTCCTTGGGGATTTTCAGGGCATGGAGTGATGTCTTGCATATAAAAGCTCCATTGGTCTGATTTCAGTGCCAGCCAGGAATTCAGCCTTGCTCCTCGGCCATTTTGATAGTTTTGCTCCTGGGGGCGTGTCGCATCAAAGGGTGGGGTGCATTGGGGTGCATTAGGCAGAGGCAACAGCTGGGAAGACGCAGTGTGAATGCGCTGCATGCAAATACATTTGCAACATGAGATTGGGAGACATACCGAACATACCATAACATACCCAAAATATCAATATCATGATGTTGTTGTGGTGGGAAAGTGGTGGTAAGGTCAGCAGCTTTGCAGAAAGCTGGATCTGGCGCACCAAAACTTCTCGTCACCCGGCAGGATGCTGTGAGGAAGGGAGGAAAGGTGAGGTTGGATTGCGTGTGCCATTGCTGGCAGCGAGAATTCTTAAAGGAGTTAAGTTAAGCTTGTTTTCCTGATTTTGCTTCAGCCACAGTGGGCATTCCGTGGCACAATGGCATTTTCATTGCATTTTGTTGTGTTTTGCTTGGAGGCATGCTTGAAACATTCTGAAACCCTTAAATCTAAATGCTGGCTTCAAGACGAATGCAGCCACAACAAGTTGTAGCTCATTGTAGCTCCCCCCATCACTGCTGTCAGGTCAGCGTAGGCGGTGCTGGACGCTCCCAGGAATTTCCAGATGTTATTGGCAACAAGAAGACCCGCAAGCGCCACTGGGATTTCCAAGGCATGTTGCGCAATCCATCATGGATTGTCTATCTGAATGTATCTCTCAATTAGTTAGTTGCTCGTAATATTCCGGGAAACTTGTTCCTAATCTACGAATCATTCTTTTGAGTTTGGTGTTTTTATCCCTGACATTTTTCATGGTCTAGCATGTTCTAGTTTTTTTCTTGGGGACTTGGGGTCCTAAGGCTGAGTCAAACTCTGCAGACAGCAGACTTACTCATACGGCCCGAAACAAACTTAGCACCGTCATGCACCGTCAAGAGATGGGTATGGAATCCCAAAGAATAAAATGCAGCAACTACTGGTACTGTTTCCCACAACGATGCTGTTTTGGGATGTTTGCGCGGCCGTAGCCTTGTCATTGCTTTTGCACTGAATTCCATTCACCAGTACTGATATATATACAATTAGATAAATATCATGAGTCATGAGTGTAAGGTGGGTACATGTACGTGATTCAGTTAGACTATGATATCAGGGATCTTAATATAATCTTTGGGCAAGGCCAGAATTCTGACTGCTGCAACAAGCGTAGCAAGGGCGAGTCAGTCAACCTGCATCGACATCCTAAATCATCTCGCAATCTCACATCACCTCGCATCCCCTCACTATCGCCAAGGTCTTGCAAAGCAGCTCCTGAATTTGATGCAAGAGCTGCCACAGCTTGCAGGAATTGATTTCGATTTACAGGTGCAGACGTGACATGACGTGACTAGACATAGTTGTTGCATGTTTTTGCAGTATGATGCGGCCTGCAGATGAATGAAACAAAAAAACGGGGAATGTTCACGGCCCTCCAACTCATTTGAAGCAACATCAGTGTCGTCAGGTTCAGAATCCAGACTACCTATCGCTTGCAAAGCTTGTGATGATGCTTCGCACAGCAGTCGGCCATTGGGATGCATTGGGAAAGTGGGGACATATTAGTAGACTATATGAATACTATATATATATATTTTTAATGAACACTATATAATACAGTATGTCTCAGATTCGTCAATTCTATTTTGAGAGCTGATGCCTTTCATTGTGCTGCATTGATAAAACCGCCCGACTGTCAGTCCATAGCCGGCAGCACAGAATAAGTGAGAACACCAAGAGTTTCCGGATTTGGTTTGTTACTGTTTGTTGTGGCATGTTCCGACCTGTTCTGTCAGAACGTTTTCGTGTTTGTTTGGATCAGCTGCCCGAAGGTTCAAGAGGGGGGCAGAAGCCAGCTCCTTGCCAAGAATCGTGTGTGGACAGTTTGCATTGTAACATATTGCAACATATTTGAACTATGTTTGGCACACTGAAACTGAACCTTGTGGCAGTGGAGGGGCTTGCCTCCATTCTAGAGATGTCTAAAGTAATGTAGAGTTTGGAACTATGTGGATTTGTTATTTTCTTGAAAGTTGAAACTTGCTCATTGAATTTATATAATTAGGCCATATTAGGCCCCTGAGGCAAATGTGAAATATATTGTCGAATGCATTCATCATTGACAGCCCACTGGTGCAGACACATGCAATGAGTTGATGCAAACGGCTGGAAGGGTTGACCCAACATCGCATATATGCACCAAACATCACCAAAACTCAATAGACAAATACAGTGGAACACCTTACGTCAGCATGCCAGGGGGGGTCCGGATGTATATACTATACTTCGATGATGCATGCATACCAGGCGGTGCCGATTTGTATGACCTTTTCTGTGACTGTCATGCAACTTTGCAGATTTTTACGATGACCTTCCACGCGCTGGCCGGGGTATTGAACAGCTTCGCAACTTTGACTCTGAAGCAGCAAGATTCTGAGGAGAAACGAGACTCGGCATGACAGAGACATCCTTGGGTTTCTTGGGATATCGGGGTTCGCGACCTTGAAAAAATAGGTGCTTTTGGATGCTTTTGGTGCAAACTTTGAACAACATGAGTAAAATGGCTGCAAAATGGCTGTAAAACGGCTGTGCACTCAATTTGTGAGCCCAGGCTTCGTAGATTTGTTTGACATGTGCCATGCAGCTCAGCTGCAGGGATTGGTGTGGGGGTTTGGGTCTTAGCCCGCTGTGTTGGGCTTTGGCTTCTTTCTGATGGCCATGCATGTCCATGCCATGTCTAGATGATTCTAGATGTATCTAGATCATTCAACTACACATTTTTGAATAGTTTTGAGATGATTTCAATCACACTAGATCTCTAGGATGGCCGGCAGGGCATGTTCAGCAATTAATTTGGGGCCTCTACATACTTGCGGGGGTCTTGGAGCTTGGGCCAAGCTGTGGTCTGGTCGCATCTTGTCGAACCACTGAGTGGCATTGGGAATAAACCTGCTACCGTCGAGGGCAAACATGTTTTCTCTGCACTGTCCTGACATCATGGCAAGAACGCTTGTAAAATCTTGAAGGAAGGTACTTGTAAGATCTTGTAAGGTGATTATACGTATGTGATTGATTATTTAATACCATTCAATACCGATGCCTTCGGTCACAAGTTTTCGAGTCTTGTCTGCTGTTGCTGCTCCATATCCTGGCGGATGTCTCCATGGTTCCCTCCTTGTTTTATCTCACCGTTCCTCATGAAAATTTGCACTTTTCCTGGGGAAATGGGGTAAGGCGGCATCCTTTTACGCCGCAGCGACTTTGATGCTTGATGGTGGTATAAGAATTACAGTATGCAGAATTGCAATTGAGGAGTATTATTGATGCTTCTGAAGTTATGATGTGAACCTAGACGATCCTAAATTGAAGTGTGAATGCACACACACACAGATGCCCACATACATATACATGACACCTCTCTCTCTCTCTCTTCTCTTTCTCTGTCACCCACCCACCCACGCAGACACACACACACACTGTCAAACACACATAATTATGCATGCATTTGTTTGCACGACGCGGTGCGTGATGCACATATGTAAATGTAAACACTGGCATTCTGGATCCAGTGATTCTGCGGAGCCAGGTTTCAGGCATTTGAATGGTCAGGCTTTGACTCTGAGCCTGCTTGAAGACAGCAGGTTTTTGAACTGTATGCGTGATCATTTCTGGCTCCTGAACGAGTTTTGTCGCTTCGTCTTGCAACTCACGTCATGGAGTCACGCGTCAAACCTTTCCATCAGGCAATGACCTATACAATGATGGACCAGCAGGGCCGCCATTCAAGCGAGAAGATGGATACAGATGTCGTTCAGGCACATGCTGGGAATGGAGCAAAAACAGGACTGACAACTAACAATTGACAAGTGTACAGTAAACAATAGTTCCATTTGAGGGTGCTTGCCTTCCATTTGAGAGTTCTCACGAACAGAGGCCTTTGGGCCCCAGCTAAGTTATATGATATATATATATGTGTGTGTGTGCGCTGTGTGTGTGTGTACAGTGTATGCGCACCCAGCGCAGCATAGCGCAGCGCCTGCCACACTTCCCCAAATGTACATCTCAGCCTCAGCCCTGAAAACGCATATGAGTACACCTCATGATGGGCATGCACCTCCACATAGAAATAATGCGTTGATTACCAGAGAATGCGTGCACACTCGTGCCAGATAATACTCAGAAGCAACTGGGTCATGCTTGGTAAGTACAGGGCCCCAGCCTTTCCAATTGGTTGATTTACCGACGTATGGTGGAACACCCGCCAGCTCAGCCCGGAAATCGGCATGCATCGATGCAGAAACACTGCCAGGCATGGCTGAAATACGGCATGCCGTTGGATCACCTAACTTTGGGTCCTGACCCTAGGATGCTGCAGAAGTGTGGGGTGCCTTTGTCACCGTAAGACAGTAGAACCGTTCGTACTTGAATGCCTTGTTTTATGATTCTTGGGTTTGGTCCATGAGTAAAAGCCACGAAGAGACAAGGGGACTTGTTGTTTGATTGTATGGGTACCACCGGGTACGAGGGGCGTGAGGAGTCAGTGATGGGTCTGAAAATGGCACAAACCTGATAGAGTCAGTGAATTTGAGGGAGTCATGCAGTGCCTTCTTGCCGCCAATTGGTACGAGCCAAGTATGCTTCAACGGTTTCATCCTTAATCCGAGCTCGTTGCACTGGGGACAGTTGATCCACTCTGTTTCCCACCCCCTGGTGCTGGCGGGGTGGGCCATGGCGCGACGACAGTCGGGGACGGAGCCCCAATTGGCATCAGAGGAGTCAACTTTCAGCATTGACCAATTGAAGCCTGCCGTGACACAGGAATAGAATTGAATGAACCCCGAATTATCTATAGGTATAAGAATGGATGAGACAAGTTTATAGCCTTTTTGCATGCATGTCTTGTGCATATTATCTTTCTTGTTTTGATTTTGTGGGTGGATGGGTGGGGGCCAATACGGTTCGCTGTTACCTGCACACATCCACATGCTACGCTGCTTGATGTTCCCCCCATCCTGCTAATGCTGCTTTCTCTCGATGACATTTTGTTGCCCTGCTTGATCTTGTATCCAGCTGCTTGATCTCTTGTATATACACAATTAGAAACACGTGCTGTTACCCTTGATCCATTTTGGAAATATATAAAAAAGAATATCCCTCGCGTACTCAGCGGCAAACACTATTAGATCATGTGGCAGGTTCGCTTAGGCAGGACGCAAATTTTGGTTGGCTTGAACCGTAAATTTTGGCTCGCTCCGGCCATACATTTTGGCTCGCTTAGGAAGTATTTTGATGTATTTTGTAAGTACCCACGGTAGCATAGTGAAACGGCAGGTAGGAGGTGTCCCCTAAGGGAGGCTGTAGCTAGCAATGTGTGGTTTCGCTACTTCCTGTGGACGTGTCTAAATTGTCTGGAGAAACAAAGGCAAAGGCGAGGTTAAATTTCGATGAGGATGATGGTGTTGAGGCTGATCAGGGTGATCAGGGTGATGATGATGATGATGATGATTATGACGACGACGACAATGATGATTACTGTATGCTGGTGGTGATGGTGATGGTGAAATATGGTGAAATATGATGATGCTGATGCTGCTGCTGCTGATGATGATGATGATGATGAATGATGATGATGTTAGATTGTTGAAGTCTAGCTTCATGTTATTTAATTTTGCGAACAGTGTCTGGTACAGAGATCACATTCGGATTATTTTTGCTATGAAGATTCTGACTATGATCATGATGGCTTCTTGATCACGGTGTCTCTTCCCCCCTTCCCCCCCTGTCCCCCCCAAAGGCAGACCCTACAGATGTTGTATTTCGGGTGTAAGTGTGGCTTCACGTCCCCCGTCTCTCCCCCCTGACCCCCTGTCCCCTAAAGACAGACCCTAAAGGTGTTTTTGGTGTTGTTGTTGTTGTTGTTGTTGTTGAGGTGCTGTTGTTGAGGTGTTGTTGTTGTTGAGGTGTTGTTGTTGAGGTGTTGTAAGTGTGGCTTCACGTCCTCCGTGTCCCCTCCTCCTTCCCCCCTGACCCCTGCGTCCCCCCTAAACGCAAATCCTAAAGGTGTTGTCTGTGAAACGAATTCATGCTCTAAGTGATCTTTTTTTATGTCCCAAATGGCACCCGTGCTTCTCAAGCCCGTGATTTTTGTCCTAGGTGATCCTCTTTTATGTCCTAAGTGACTCCCCTGTGCTCAGAAATGATTTATGTCCTAAGTGATCCAAAATTTATGTCCTAAGTGAGACCCTTGCCTTAGATCATTTGGCACTTCCATCAGCGTTTTCAATGAGTTTTAATCAGCGTTGAGGAGCATGGGTTTGTGCCTGATTCTAGTGTGATCTGCAATTTGTGTGCTTCTCCTCTAGGCACCCCGTTCGCTTTTTTTTACCTTGAGCTACCCACAAAGGTGGTACCCACTGCCTCCAAATACAATTCCTGTTTCAAAAAACTGGCTAAAGACCCACACAAAACACTGTCAAGTCATGTCAAGTCTACGTGGCTGACACAACAAGATGAAAAGCTAGAACGGTTTTCAGGCTGACGGGAAGTTTATGATAATTAGATGTAATTTGATGTAATGAGTGAGCTATATGTAGTATATGACCTGTATTATAGCAAATGCATTGTATTAATAAACCAATCTATAATAATCTAATATAATCTATATATCTAGGCAATACCAACTAATACAGGCGTGTGCTTTGGATTTGCTCGGAGCAGGTCAGGTCGGATGCACGGCATACTCCAACCTCTAAGCCTCTAAGCCTGGTTAGATAATGATGATATGTGAAAAGTGGCCTCGCAATTGAAATCAGGAAGCACGTCTTTCAAAGAGTAGCTGGTTCCAGTGGGAGGGTCGGAATTGAAGATCTGGAAACGGCAGCTCGAGAATTGGGCATCAGATGTAGCAAGAATGCGCTCAAAAAGGCAGCCTGGCAGTAGTACTTTAGCACTGGTGTTCTTACGATAATTGTCCATTAATCATATATTTGAATTATTTGCATATGCTTAGTTATTTTTAATTAGTGTCTTCTTCGTTCAGCAGCTTTGTGGTCTTACTTTGCTGGTGCCAAGGTGTTCAAACTCGTCGACAAAGATCGAGCCGGTTGTCTGGACTTTGATCAGTTTGGGTCTTTGATCGCCACAGCTTCACATGATTTGCTTGATCAAACTGTCTAGTGTGTTTTTCGAAATCTTTTTGGGTGTGGTGCGCCCTTGATGATATTGCCACAAACGACTGTTGTGGAATGAAGAAGCAGTTCCTTGTGAGGAAAAGCTCGGATGAACTTAGTCCTGGGCGCTTGTTCCCTTGGCCCATGTGCTTTAAAATCTTTTTTCTGACCTCGTTTGAACATGAACTGTTGGCATTTGTTGGTCTGTTGGCTACAGGTATCGGACCCTGAGAAAGTCAAATCAGTTCTGACTCCCGCAAGCGCGCAGTTCCTGGACTACAGAAGCAGCGTGGACCAAGATCCCTCATTTGCCAAGCATTTTCCGATCCCACGGCCTGTGAAGGCTAGTCTCAGAGTCTTGGAAGAAATGAAGCAGTGTACTCGTAGCACGAAATGCCTAGTTTCGGCAATTGAATCGGAATCCTTGTTGTATCTTGTTGCCGCACTGGCACTTTCGGCCTATACACTATTGACCATACTTCATCCAGTTCCTACATTGCCTGAAGTTGTTTTCTTTTGGTTGCGGGGGAATCCTTGCACATCTTGCACATGTGAGGATACAACAAACACTTCAACCAAACCCTGGAAGCTGTTCGCTGGGTGGCGGATGGTACATTTCTAGCCGCGACAGGGAACCGACTGCTCGTTTGTGATATCTCCACGCGCAGTGACGTGCCCCTCAAATGCTGCGAGGTAGGTCCTTCAGTGTATTGCCCCTCGGCTATTCTCCAAAACGTGGCCTGCAGCCCACAATCCCAGAAAACATCAATGCTGCGCAAGGGATGGTGCAGCGTTTTCTCAAGAATCTCCAGGTGTGAAGCTAAGTTAAGTAAATGATTCATAATGATTCTGGTTGTCATATTTATATAATATTGTGGACAAATCAGGCTATGGCTATGGTCACACTTCTGTCCTTTGAATTGGACTGAGGCATGGATGCGCTTCCTGGGGGACGGGGGGTTCTCCTGGGCTACGGGAAGAAGACAGAGAACCTGATGCTTTGGGATATGGCCGAAGAGAGAGCTATTCACCTTTTTCCAAGCCAGCCAAGCCCAGTGCTACCTGCCAGAACTAGTGTATCAGCACCTCTTTTCCCGCAGCAAAATGGTTCCAATATCATATACTAGTGTTAATTACTTTACAACGTTTGGCTTAGCATGGTTAGGGGAAGAGGGCCAAATGTGGAGCACGTGCCTTCGTAGCTGAGCACTTGAGGCATTCTTGCTGTCTCACCAAAGAAGTGGCACTATCTGGCAACAAGGATGGCATCGTTGCCATGCACGACCTTCTCCTTTGCAGTGATACGCCATTTCTGTTTCCCCAAATAAATCTTTCTATTGGGGTGAGCAAACCTATGTTTTTTGGGGAATTGCAGACCGAGATTACTGTGCTTAGGACTTGGAAACCGGAGCTTGCATACAGACCTGGCAAGTCCATGAGGGTTTAGTGACTTCCATTTCAATGGCAGACGACGGCAACAAGGTTTGCACGACGTCACGTGATGGCCAGGTGAGGGAGTGGCCAAATGCGACCAACCCTGCACGGTTTGCAGTGCATTCAGGGGCACACCCATCCCCACAAACACAAACACTCACAAGATAAGACCACTAAGATACCACTAAGACCACTGAGTCAGAATAAGGTGGGGCTGGAGACTGGAGAGAGGGAATGAGAGGGACAGAGCCCAGCTGAAAGATGAACCGCAACCCTTCAACAAGCCCTGCTCAGGTGGTCATCTTTGACATCAACGCTGGATCAATGCCATCCTGCGTGGTGTCGACGATCCAAGATGCAGCTGCGGGCTACACAGTTTGCGATGCGTTGTGGTGTGGCGATGATTTGTTGTCTGCTGGCGATGACTACTGCATAAAGATGTGGGATGCTAGGAAATCTGGACTTGCGCCACTGGCCAGCTACATGGGACACACGTCCTGTGTGAGAAGTTTGCCACAATTTGCCTTCAACATAATTTTTCGTTTTTTTTTCCCTCATCATGTTTTAACTGTTTTATCTACATTTATCATCTTGGATCCTTATCGCTTTACTACGGGCTTTCTGGGATGGATTGACCTGCAGATAAACACCAAGTCAAATCACTTGATTGGCGAACTCCGGGAGATACGAACCTCACCTGTTACATACTGTTTGGGATTTTTGCCATTTGCTATCATCTTGCTATCTATTTGTCTGCATCTATCTTATGACTCCTTTGCCTTTCAGTCATTCTAAGTCACGGATTTTGATTTGATGAGATTTTCTGTGGGATGGGATGGGATGCGCAGAGAATGTGAGCACATGCAGGTTTGGCACTATCTCCAGATGGATCCCTCTTTGCTTCAGGGGCTGCCGACAGTAGTGTCCGAATTTGGGCAGTAAAACCGTATGGCATCAGAGATCGTTTGACGAAACACCCTGGAAGCAACGGAGACAAAGACAACCGAGTGATCGATTTGCTGCTGTCCTTGAAAGAGCGACGGGAGCAGGCAATTGAACTTGTGCATGCAGGTGAGGGAGACATGGATGAGGTGCGGCAACTTACAGAAGAAATTGATCACTTGGAAAGTGTCGCCAAAGAAGTGGAGGAACCATGTGACAGCGATTTGATTGATTCAAACGGCTACATTAGGGCTATGCTTGGATTGACAGGCCACTCCTTGACAGTGAACTCTTTGGCATGGCAAGAGGACCAGAAGGGTGGGAACCGCATTGTGACCGGTGCCCATGATGAAAGCGTGTGCCTCTTTGAGTTTACAGATGCTGAGGTAATGGAAGGTCTCACCACAATGTCTCGTCAATGTTCAGACCCTTAGCAGGCCACGACTAGGACGCCGTCTGCCTAGTCAAAATGCATCAAGCTTTCATCAGCCCAAGATCCGCTCAGCTTGCTCAAGCATTTTCATCAGGCTCGGGGGATCTGTGGGATGTGTACCAAAACTTTGTACAGTACAGCGACCTCATGAGACTAAGATCTACGAGGGCAAGGGTTTCAAAAAGGTGTCACAGAAGGAAGGACGGACAGGTTTGGAATTGCTTTAGCGAATGAGATTGCTCATCGCCGAACAAGGACGCAGAATATAACTCATCAAATCTACTGGTCAAATCTCTGACTTGGTCGCCGCATGTGACCAAGGTATTCCTTTCTTTGGAGTAACTCGACTGATCATTCAGAGTGGACATGATTGGATGATGGATCACAGACAGGAAGGATATGGAAGCATTGTGCACGGATAGATTAGATTCGGATAGATCATGATAGATCATGACTGACGGAAGGACTGGAAATGACTGGATGAACCACAATGAGAGCCATCCTTGGAGTTGTTTCGAGATGTGTACCGTCACTGTATCGTGGACTTTGTATTCGAAAAGGTCGCAATGCCTTCACAACTGTACAAGTTTTCAGCTTTAAGTGAGAGAGTTCGACTTACTCTTGGCAGCTTGAACTGATCTGATTTGATCTGTAGGTAAAAAATGGTCTTGCACCAGTTACCTTCAGGGAAATTATCTCGCAGGTTGGGACCTTAGCTTGTTAGGCTGAGCAGATTTCAGAAGATTCAATCAGTTATATATTTGGAACCATTGCATGCTATTACCAAGTTGCATTAAATCGCATTAAATTAATATATTCACGTCACTTCACCTTGCAGTCATGAGGAGACATGCTTTTGACCTAAGCAGTTTTTGAATGTTTTTGCATTGTAGCTTGAGCATTTGCATTCTTTTTTCACACCACACAAAACGCATAAGACTTGCCAAGGAGAGATCGTTTGCCTCATCAGGCAGTGAACGGACGAAGGCGCACACGGAACTTTTGAATTTGAATATATTTGATATTATTTGATTATATTTGAATTCTATTTGGATTGGACGTCAATGGCATGCGCAAGGCATTGAACAGCACAACCAGCCAGGAAGCTTAAGTAAAGCTGGCAAACACAAACAACATCTGATGCTTGTTCAGTTCAATCTACTGGACCGCTTCAACTGAATAGTGGCTAGCAGCTAGCAGCACAGTCTCTGTACGGCTTGATGCTGTTCTACTTGGAACGTCATTTCTCAGCATGCCAGGGAAAAACTAGTCAGATACAACGGGACATGTCCATATATGGTCCATACATGTCCAGAACCAGGAAGGTCATTCCATCCAGAATGCGCAGCTTGACACTCCCAGGATGGTTTTTTCTTCGTGAATGCTGAAAATGCTGTGAAGCAACTCGGAGGAGTTTCATCTCTCGAACTGCCAAAAAATCTAGAATAAACAAATCCAGACATGTCTTGGCTCAATATAATTGCATATGATTGTATGATATAATGATATAATTGTATTATAATTGTAGATTATATATATATGTGTGTATTACATTTAAATAAACTACATGATATCAGATGTATACATATATACTTTTATTCCCCGCCAATATACATACTTTCGCGTAGGTATATGATGTGTACATATATATATACACATATATACACATAAATGCATTGCTTTACATCTATTTACCAACTTATTCAGGTTCAAACTCTATCTACATATGCTACATATCATTGATTTGTACGCCATCAGCCTTCCGTCCCAACAGTGGCATCCATGCCCCAGTGAATTTTCTGGCGTAATTCATTTGTGTGTTGTCCATAACTTCATTGAGCAGAGGGAGGAACCAAAAAGCTCGCGACAAAACGGTCAATTCTTCTCTCTGAGAGCCTCTCTTTCCCACTGTTGCCGATTGTCGCTGTGGGCTCTGCTGACAAAGTGTCTCTTTGAGGAAAGTGAAGTTTGCAGAGGAGCAGGGAATAGCTGCTTGGAATTGCAACCAGTGGGATGCTGGAACGTTCTGGCCTCCAAACCCTGTGCAACTGGTCTGACCCATCTAATCCTTTCCTGGCGGTGGTCATTCTCCAGGTTTCAGCTGAAAAACCTACAACAATATTAACAATATCATGAAACCCTGGACGCTCCAACCCCACATATCATGAACGGAGAGTGAGGATCCCTTGCAATCTTTGTACAGTATATAGATGATGTAGATGTGATACTTGTACACTAGGAGGAGGTACTACATAGATCTGTCAGACATGCTGATGCATATACCAGGCGGGCCCATAAAAAAATCAAAACATTTGAGGCGCCTGTTGTCATTTCATGCCAGGGAATGCGGGCAATACTGTATGTGTCGGCTATGTGTAAATCTGTATCATATCTTTCTATGTGAATGAAAGCATAGATATACAATTCACAGGAATCAGCCACAACACGCTTCTACTTCTGCATGTACTTCCTCAATCACCTTTCTGTGGTCAGCACGGGTCAGAGATCTTTCTTCTTAAACTCCCAACAACATACATTCTCGAGGACGAGCATGGCTACTTTGGCCTAGATTTTGAAAAGCCAACTGCTGTACAAAGCAATATTGGGTAACCCACCCGTCTCGTATAACCTCGAATTCCAAGGCAGGACTCATGATATGGGAGCTCGGACAGGATGCCGCAGAGGAAAGCATCAGCTTGTTGAGGTGGGGGGGCCCTGTGCAGGTTCAAATTCAAGGGGTGTCGACTTGTCCAGGCCCAGCCAGGCTTGCAGGAACTCAAGTTGGAGATGTCATGTTATGGCGCCACGTCAAACACGACCAAAGTTACCAATTATATCCAATTATTTCATTGTTTACGCTGCCTCACACGGATTCATTACATTTCCTCCAAAGCTCTTGGCATGACACGCCTCAGAGGACTTTTTGTTATTGTATCATTTTTCATCCACCGAATTCCACCGATGTTTCATTGTGTCGCTGCCTTAGCCACAGCTGATCTCGCCTGCCTTGCACAGCTGGGTCATACAAGAAACCGCAGCAAACTGCAAGTCTTCCAGTGTAGCTTGAGAGTTGTTGCTGTGCCAGAAGGTCTTCCGAAAAAATTAACCTAAGAGAGCCCTACTCCAATAAGGAATGACATACTCCGGAGGGACTTGTGACCTCGGCAAGTCTTTACATCTCGTTTGTTGCAGCATTTCTGCCAGGCACATTTGGGATGCTGCAAAAAACAAGGTGAGACGCATAGCAGCCTTCACCGGTCCCTGGTTCTCTGTTTTTTGCATGTTTTGAAATGTTTTGAAATGTTTTCCACAACTTGACGCAATGTTTCCGTTTTCAGGGCATCCTTCATCAACTTCTTGGCATAACCCCGAAGGAAGACCATTTGTTCAGTCGCTTGGAGAGCAAAGTCTGGATCTTCTGGACTTGGAGGTGACTTTGTGCCTCATGTAAATGTATATAAAATTTGTCTAAAGTCTTGAGTCACTAGCTTGCTGGAGTGTACTTGGGCCATGTCATGCTTGAACTGCTGTGACTGACTCTATTTGTATCTACTTATTGTATCTATTTGTTTGAATGTAGCTGAGGCGTTCTCACAGTTCTAATGGGAGGTGCTGGTTGCCCGGGTGACGAAGGTTGAATCTACAGAAATTCCTTTCATAAATCTGACGAATCTGAGCATCTGTCAAAAGGAAGCGACATTACGAATGATATGAATTGATATGAACTTTGGTGAAACGTTGAAACATAAACCGTATGCCGCATGCCCATCATCACCATCATCCAAGTCTGCAAAGTAGATCTTGGCTTTCAGGATATGAACTTAAGTCCTGCGCGCTAGAACACAACCTAGAATATTGTCCACGAACTTCAGAGCAAAGGGACATGCGGCCCAATGGACCCCATGCTTATTGTTCGTCCTCAAAACCTTTTTGCTTCTGGCGGAGTCAATTTAAGTCGTTTTCCCGCAGCATTAGAGTACTGCAGTCATACCTTCACACACAGCAGTTCCCACAAGGTGCTGTGTGCAACTATGCAAATATATTAACTATATAATATGATATATAATATTATATAATATGATATATAATACATAATCTAATATAATATAATATATGCTCAGCGCCCCCCAAGTGGACCTACCTTTTTGCAAGTTGAGCATTGCACAGCTATACATGCCTTCTGAACGGCAGCAGAAGAATGATTCCTAATGAAGCAACAATATGCAACAATCATTTGAAGACTCATGTGCATACTGAAGTAGATCACTCTGCTGGCCCGCAAATATATATATACAGTATATATACAGTATATATATACACACAGTATACACAGTATACACAGTATACACAGTATACACAGTATACACAGTATACACAGTATACACAGTATACACAGTATACACACATACATACATACATACATACATACGTACGGACGTAAGTACGTACGTACGTACATACATACATAGATACATACACACACATACATACACACACATACACACACATACACACACATACATACACACATACACACATACATACACACACATACACACACATACACACACATACACACACATACACACACATACACACACATACACACACATACACACACATACACACACACAATACACACATACACACACACCATACACACACATACATACACATACACACACACATACACACACACATACACACACATACACACATACACATAACACACACACACATCACACATACACACATACACACATACACCATACATACATACACATACACATACACACACATACACACACATACACACACATACATACACACACATACACACACATACACACACATACACACACACATACACACACATACACACACATACACACACATACACACACATACACACACATACACACACACATACACACACATACACACATACACACAGACACACACACATACACACATATACACACATACACACATACACACATACACACATACACACACATACACACATACACACATACACACATACACACACATACACACACACATATATATATATATATTTACATACACAAATATGCTACTTCCCCCAAGTTCCACCTTTTCAGATGAACAATGCCCTGCAGATGCTATTTGCTGACGGGGTACAGCAACACTGGTATTTGCAGTGTTTTGTGCTCACATGGTTGCACAGACAACAGAGATGATGATATATTTGTCTTGAACTGCAGGCAAAATTTTGGCCTGCAAATGTTAGAACTTTTTTTAGATTTAGTAATGTCTTAGTGAACTGCATGTCATTGTGAGGAATGTATATTTTCCATGGTACTTCCGTGGTTTTTGACATATGCATATTAAACACATGTGAAATCGTTATATGGGCCGCCCCCAAATGGACCTCAAAGGTAGGTCCATTTGGGGGCGGTGACCATATGCATACATATGTGTATTATATATATATATACACATATATGAATGTATGTTATATATGTTATGTTGGTTTGGTATCGTATGGTACGGTATGGTACGGTATGGTACGGTATGGTACGGTATGGTACGGTATGATACGGTACGGGTATGTACTGTATATAGTTATGTGTGTGTACACAAGATCCCCACCCCCTTGGGCACCTTTTTTTGGGGGGGGGGTCAAAAAATGTAAGTTACAAACAAATGGGGGGGACCCCCCCGTCAAAAAATGTAAGTTACATTTTCGCGACCCCCTAACTTACATTTTTTTGACCCCCCCCTCCCCCCATGAAAAAATAAAAAATTAGGGGGTCAAAAAATGTAACTTCCAATTTGTGACCCCCCCCTCATTTTTTAAAAATTCACGTTTTTTTCTATTTTCCAGGGGGGGAGGGGACGTGCAGATCGAATCATCTCAAAATACCCCGAGCAATTTTTAATGATAAAATATGAAGTAATATGAAATAATATGAAAACCACTACTATTCTTGCTGCTATTATATACTCTATTACTACTATTAATTCGTATTAATATTAGTACTACTAGTACTACTAGTACTACTAGTACTACTAGTACTACTAGTACTACTAGTACTACTAGCACTACTATTTGGTACTATCTTGTGCTACCTTATTCTGTTTCTATTTATTTTTATACTATCTTCTGCTGTTCCCGGTTTGTTTGGATCATGCACCATCTGCAAGATTGCCTGCAATATTGTTGCTGATGCTGTTTGCATCTGCTTGCTAGATTTCATAAGCGCTTACCTTAAGGTCACGGTCTTCATGTGTTTTTGCAGAAATTTGGAAAACTCCCCTGCAGCTACTTACATTTTTTCATACCAGGCAATCCCAGGCAAAGTGCGCAATGTAACATAATGTAACATCGGATCTGACATTTTCTTGCATGATCTTGCATCAACTTACATGTTTCACGCTTAAATAGGGAGCATCAAGAAACCACTGGAAACCATAAGAAACTTCAAGAAACTATATATTATATTACTATCAAAGGAACTTGTCAATATTTGTGAATGTCGGTGGTGAACCCATACCAATCTTAGTCATCTACAGTGATCTAGGTGCCCCATGTCGTTCTCAGCAGATGCTCCTTCAGGTGCAGTGCCAGCCTAGGCAGGCAGAAAAATGTTTTTGCAAACTTTCTGCCAGCGGCACCTTCTGCTACATAACTTTCTGCTAGCGGAGCCTTCTGCTACATATATTTCTGCTAGGGGAGCCTTCTGCTAGATAACTTTCTGCTAGCGGAGGCTTCTGCTACATAACTTTCTGCTAGGGGAGCCTTCTGCTACATAACTTTCTGCTAGGGGAGCCTTCTGCTACATAACTTTGTGCTAAGGGGAAGCCTTCTGCCACATTTTCTGCTCCTTCAGGTGCAGTGCCAGCCTAGGCAGGCAGAAACATGGTTTGCAAGATATGTCACATTATGATACAATAGCATACAATATGTCACCTTGTGACATAATGTGGGAATCAGATGGCATAAGATAGAATAAGAACAAGAAGTAGTAATTAAAATGTATGTTTGACTGTGTGGACATGGAGATCTCCTGCAAAACACCATCATTTTCAACACCTAAAGCAGCCTAGCTTACATTTTCAAAAAACGCCGCCATTCACCAGGCAATTCCAGGCAAACTGCACAATGATACGCACATATGCAATCACATGCACAAAAAATGAACATAGAATATCATCCTAGCCATCCAGAATCTACAGTGATCTAGGTGCCCCACATCGTTCACAGCAGATGCTCCCTCAGGTGCACTGCCAGCCTAGGCAAGCAGCAAAATGCTTTGCAAGATAGGCCACATTATGATACAATAATATACAACATGTCACCTTATGATGCCTTATGACATAATGTGGGAATAAGATTGAATAAGAAGTAGTAATTAAAATGTAAGTTTGACTTTGTGGACATGGGCATCCTCTGGAAAACACCATCATTTTCAACACCTAAAGTAATCTAGCTTACATTTTTCAAGAAACTCTACCACTCACCAGGCAATTCCAGGCAAAGTGCACAATGATGCGCACATATGCACAAAAAATGACATAACATATCATGAAATGACCAAAGGTGATCTCATCTATGCGACGCAAACATGTAAGCTGAAAGCAATAGGGGGGCCAGAATCCCTGCAGCCCACAACACTATCTCAAACACCTTCCCCCAAACAGCTTACTATATAGGCATTATATGGTAATATAATGTAACATCGCATCTTACATTTTCTTGCATGATCCTGCATCAACTTACATCTTTCACGCATAGATAGGAAGCATCAAGAAATCACTGGAAGCCATAAGAAACTGCAAGAAACTATATATTATATAACTATCAAAGGAACTTGTCAATATTTGTGAATGTCGGTGAACCAATACCAATCTTAGTCATCTACAGTGATCTAGGTGCCCCATGTCGTTCTCAGCAGATGCTCCTTCAGGTGCAGTGCCAAGGCAGGCAGAAAAATGTTTTTGCAAACTTTCTGCCAGCGGCACCTTCTGATACATAACTTTCTGCTAGCGGAGCCTTCTGCTACATATATTTCTGCTAGGGGAGCCTTCTGCTAGATAACTTTCTGCTAGCGGAGGCTTCTGCTACATAATTTTCTGCTAGGGGAGCCTTCTGCTACATAACTTTCTGCTAGGGGAGCCTTCTGCTACATAACTTTGTGCTAAGGGGAAGCCTTCTGCCACATTTTCTTCTACTTCAGGTGCAGTGCCAGCCTAGGCAGGCAGAAACATGGTTTGCAAGATATGTCACATTATGATACAATAGCATACAATATGTCACCTTGTGACATAATGTGGGAATCAGATGGCGTAAGATAGAATAAGAACAAGAAGTAGTAATTAAAATGTAAGTTTGACTGTGTGGACATGGAGATCTCCTGCAAAACACCATCATTTTCAACACCTAAAGCAGCCTAGCCTACATTTTCAAAAAACGCCGCCATTCACCAGGCAATTCCAGGCAAACTGCACAATGATACGCACATATGCAATCACATGCACAAAAAATGAACATAGAATATCATCCTAGCCATCCAGAATCTACAGTGATCTAGGTGCCCCACATCGTTCACAGCAATTGCTCCCCC